GCCCTCTGGTGGACAGAAGCTATTACTGCAGCTGTTTTCGAACTGTCACTTAGCTAATTATGTAATAGCAGTGAGGACTTTTAGTGCCGTTGTGCTTTTGTAATCTCCAGTTTGAATACATCAGATGTTTTGTATTCAAACAAAAACATGTTGTTTTCGTGACCATAGCAACGGATGAACCAGGTATGAAACATCATGACGTAGAACATGCTAGAACGTACAGCTAGCTTTAGCTTCGGCCTGTTAGCATCGGTGAACATGAGTTGTTTCCATTAATCTGAGTGAACTAGAGACCTTTGATCTTTAAGGACTTCATTTGTTTTATCCAAGTAGAAAGTTTGATGTGTTCTCTGAGTTGGTTCTCAGGTTTATAAATGCATTTCTGTCCGTTTGAATCTATTTTAAACACTTTTCACCAGTTTAATGAGTCTTCTGTTTATTTTTATAGAGCCCATTTTAAAACAACTTTATTTGAGCAGTGTTGTGTCTACAAGCTGTAAAACATTACATCTTTTTAGAAATACATCAGCTATAAACATGAAACATAAATAATAAACAATCACATAAATTAAAAATGGAAACTTTCTGAGTAAAAGCAGAACTCGGTTTTAACCTGTTAAACCCCAAAAACAACCAGATTAGTAAAGTGTGTCTTGTGCACACATGCAGATGCAGACACACATCTCTTGTATTGTAAACAAGTCATTGTAGCTTTTTCATAACTGTTTTATGACACAAGTGGATTTAATGTGTCTTGTTTTGTCCTCACAGGCATCTTCATCGTGGAGCATCCCGTGACTGCAGCGGCCCCTGAGGTCATCCGGATTCTCGATGAAGATGAAGGTAGGTACCCAGCCCTTCACATTCCTGATGATGATGTTGTGTTTGTGGGTCATGGTCAGGCTCCTCCAGTAGAGGCAGAGTTTGCTATTGAGGGTCTGAGTAGTGATGAGGAGTTGGCGGAGACTGACAGTAGCTCAGATTGGTCAGCTTTAGAAGGTTTTATGGCTTCTAGTGTGGACTCTGGTTATGGTAGCTCAGTTCTGGATAGCGATGAAGACCAGCAGCTTCCACCACCAGAAGACTTCTGGCTGGCGGTAGCTCCTCCGGCCCCACCGGAAGAGCTTCCAGAAGATCCCAGGCCTGCCCACGGGAGCGCTGAAGAGGTCCAGGATGTAGAAGAACCCACTCCTTCTACCTCGGTCCTTGGATCCAGCCAGAAGAGGACTGGAGAGCGCTTCCCGTACATCCCACCGAAGAGACCAAGATGGGACGACTCCGACTCGGACTAGACATATCTTTTTCTTCCAGTGCAGCGCCACTGAAGATCATTTCTTTCTTTCTTGAACTGGTCGACTGGAAAGGTTTGTCTCAGGTAGCTTGTTGCACTAGGACTGTTTTTTACCAGGTCACCAGATGTTTGTTTTAGTCACCAAGTGTTTTATCAAGTCAGCTGAACTGGTGATGTCTTAGGTAGCATCTGGCACCAGGATGTCTTCATCCCTTGGCTGAGTTTAGTGTTTTATTATTTAAGAAGTGTGTTTTTAGAGCTGGTAGAACTGGAGATGCTGATGTGGATGGTTTCACCTGGGCTTCTGTGTCTGGTTGCTAAATCTTCTATTTTATTTGGGTTCTGAGAGGATTTCCTTTCATCTGATGGAGCAGGCAGTCTGGTTTAGCATCATACACACACACACACACACACACACACACACACACACACACACACACACACACACACACACACACACACACACACACACACACACACACACACACACACACACACACACACACGCATATATATTAGTACATGATATTCTAACGTTCACTAAAAGATGTAAGCCTGGAACACAAGAGGCCATCGGAGCAAACAAGATCCCACCTGAGATGGATGGTGAGAGGTGGTAGAAGATAAACAAGAGACCAAGGAGGGCAGGAAGATGGAGGCAAAACTACAACTACAGTGATGCTCCTGATAATCTGGTAGAGCAGATAGAGCAGGTCTTAGTGAGAAATGGGACGTCTACTTGGTGACATGAGCATAAGCTGGGGTGATATTTGATCCGTATGAAAGACAAGGACGATAACATCATCTTCATCATGTCCTTTCTGTTTCACTAACTGTTCTGTCACAAGAAACTGTTCTAAATAATCTGTAGAAAAGTTTGATTCCAGGTTTAGGAGGAGCTCTCCGTGTCTGTTTGTGTCCTCACGTCCTGCTGGACTGAGCTTCTCTGGGCTTTGTGGTCCTGCAGGAACCAGGAAGGAGCTGAACAGCAGAGCTCTGACACAGACGGAGCAAACAAAGGTTTTAGTGTTTAAATGTGCACGCGTTTAAAAATAGCTCTTTACAAAAGTTAAACAATAAATACTAAAATATTAAAGGCTAATAAAATATAGTCTAAACATGTAAATGATTAAAGCAATAAAGACTCAGATTATTTACATTCAACATAACTTTAAGATTCACCGCAGAACAAAAATACGATGCGTTTGACCACGACTAAAAAACGGATAAACATCGTAAAAGAACGAGAAGTTAACTAAAAGCATAAAAGTCAAAGGAGGCTCTAAATCTGTAAAACGTTTATAAAATACTAAAATGAATTTAATTAGAAAAAATTTTTTAGTCTGACGGTTTCTTTTTTCCTGCTTCAAGACAGAATTTATGTTCCAGCATTAAATGCTGTGTTGATGCAGGTTTTGCTTTAGCGTCTCCGGTCGCCCAAAGCAAAAGGCTCTGGTAACGGAACTCTCAGTAATGAGACGGGGTTCGATTCCCTGCAGGGCCCTGCTGCTTATGCCGACTGAGACTAACGCTGTTTCACTACACTTTACCATCTACATAAAGATAAACTAGGTTCAGTTATTCAGTTTAAGGAATTTAGTCATAAATCATCATAAAAATCTAAATTCCTCTAAACAGTGAAGAGCTGTTTGTCATACGTCACTAAAAAGATGTCTTACAGGGCAGCTCATGCCGCTAGTACGTCGTGATTAGCTGTATTTTAATCAACTTCATATTCAATAATTACAGAAAATTGTGTTTACAGTTGCAGCAAAACGTCTGAACCCTATGTCGGAGTCCTACACACATTTTAAAGCCATGATATGAAATTTTTATATTTTAAAATTTTCTTGAGCCAGTGTGTGCTAAAATGGCCGTTAACAGCAGTGGTATGAAGTTCCCAGCCTGGAGGGCCGGTATCAAGCACGTTTTAGTTTTAACTCCGTTTCGACACACCTGATTTCAACCAGCAGGCGATTAACTCCTTAGCATTCCAGCGTCCCGCCCGAGGGACAAAACCCCATTGCGCTGGAAATTTACGGGGTTAAGCTTTTGCAGAGCCTGAACTGCTGCACAGGTGATTAAACCACTGAATCAAGCATATTGGAGCAGAGAAACCACTAAAACCTGCTGGATACCGGCCCTCCAGGACCGGAATCGAATACTCCTGTTTTAGAGGGTTAATGAACAGCCACCCAGCACACATCGCACCCCTTTGGCCAGAATGTTCTACTTTCAACTCCAGACTGGCAGTTGGCTCTGTTGGGACTTAAACAAATATTGGGCTGACATACCTGGAGCTGCAGTCTGCTTCCAGCACATCTCCTGCATGTTTTAAATCATGAACGCAGCTGATTTATAATATGTTTATTGCCAGACTTAAAGTCCATTTTAAAAGAAACATACAGATAAAAGAAAAAGATACAAGAAAAACACAAGAAAAGAAAGCATACCAATTAACATTGATACCAATAAAAGCCTATATAAAATCACAGGATATAACTGCAGTGGAGGTAAGGGCCAACAAAACTAACTAGTTGAGATAAATCCACCCAAACATTATAACCAGTGCATTCTCAGCCTAGACATATAACGAGAGCAGCTCACAGTGGGATTTGAGAGTGCGACTATAATACTATTGGAAGACTCTTCCAGCTGTCTCATAAACTTGAACATTAAATTTTTTAGAAGTGCCTTAAATGTGCACACGCTCACAGAAACACACGTTTGACTAGCACTGCCTCCCCTGGGAGTTTTGAGGAGGATTCTCGTTGCATCATTGTATGCCACTTGTAACCTGTGCAAGCTAGACTTTTTATAGAATGACCACAGATGTGCAGTATAGAGTGGTGTGCAGTATGCTTTAAATAATGCCACTTCAACAGGTGTGGAACAACAGCTGAATGTCCGTGCAATGGTGTTTGCTTGCACATATAGCTTGCAGCACTGCCTGTAATTATCATCATCGTCGCTCATATCGGCTGTGATAAAGTGTCCAAGATATTTTATCTGTTCACAGACTGCAAGACTGTTGCTGGACAACTTAAACACAGGAAAATTAAGCCTTTTATCCTGGGTGGTTCTGTAGGTTAGAACAACACTTTTGCTCGAGTTATATTTTAAATCATATTCCATTCCATACCCAGTAGTAACATCTAGGAGCTGCTGCTGCTGATTTGTTCAATTTAGTGATGAATCACTCATGTAGACACTGAGGGTGGTTTCCCAGGAGCACTACTCAGCCTAAAACAGCTCTGTACAGCGTGGTTTGAGTCAGCCCATCTGAAAGCAGTTTTGTTCACACGCCAGCTCCATGAAGCCCCTAGCCAATCAGCGGCCAGAATCACGATACCGGCCCAACTCAGCCTTGCCAGGTACCTCAATGGAGCAGGGACTAAAAATAGGGGAGAAAATACCAAAGCGTGCCCTTGGAAACCGTGGTCGGGCTGAACTGCATCGGTCCGAGTTGCCCTGAGTAGTGTTCCTGGAAAAGCACCTTAACCCTGGCTTTCCACAGGAGCCGTCAGCAGCACGTTACTGCAGCAGCACGTCATAGCTGCTGATAGGAGCCGCTGTGGTCAACAGAACCTTTTCCACTGGACAGAGGCGGAGCTGGCCTAAATAGCGCCCTGTGCGAGATCCCCCGTGACGCCCCCCCCCCCCCCCACACACACACACACACACACAAACACACACAAGTAAAAAAAATTACACCTACAACTTTGTTTCAAATTGCGTGGAGTGTATTATATATAACAAAGTTATATATGCCCGTTGCAGATCAGCGGTCCACCAGAATCACCCTAAAGTCCAAAGCAACAATGAATAAGTTAAACTGTGACTCTGTCATCTTATACTAACACACTTGGGTTTTATTTGTTATCAGGTGCACTTCATGTAACGTTTTGTTACCTGGCAAACTCCTCCTCCCTTTGTAATCTTGGTGCAAATCATACGATGGCTGGTGAAATTTTCTTTCCAAATATGGTTGCACTCAACGCTGAACTGAATCTTCTCGTTAGCTTCCTTCAGCACATCCGAAGTTGGCTTTTTGGGTCCAGATTGGCCCCAGCCAGCAACAGCGCAGCTAACATTAGCCAGGATATGTTCATCCGTCTCAGGAAGTTCAATCGGCCCTACGTACTTATCCAGTTTGGCATTGTTTTCCAACTGAAGAAGTGGAAAAACACATTTAAAGTACATTTTGGCCTATATATGCTATTTAGGAAAACGTTTGACACTGCAGCTCGAAGCCTTGATGAGATGAATAAAAGTACCTTCAGTAGCATGATGTCATAGTCGAATTTTCCTGTGTATTTGGGATGCAGCTGGTACTTTTTCACTTTGATTTTTTGCTGACTTTTCTCCTTTTTGCAGATGTTGTGTGCTCCGAGCACCACAGTCAAGTCCCGGTAACAGCTGTAAGACAAAGACAAGTGATTCTAGTTAATAAAATGGACACTTTAGGCCCCGTCTGTAAAGGGTCAAAATCACATAGTTTTGCTAATCAGGTTGTACATTTATTATTCTTGACATTGACAGAGAAAATTATGTTTAACTGACTAAATTGTAATTTCAGGGTTAAAGTAGTTAAGTTTCAACCAAACTGACTTTTTGCAGTGTGCTGCAGTCAGAACATAGTCCTTCCGAACGAGGACCCCACCGCATGTATGGTGGTCATCAATCTGGAGTGATGCCATGTAGGGTCTGGAGTGGGGCTTTGCAACCGTGCCACCTACTACGCTGCCCCCGGCAGCCCCTACCGTGAGAAAAAATGATGAAATAAACACTTTATTAGAGTGAGATCCGTTAATATTAAGAAAAAGAAAAGGTGTGATGTTACCGGCGATGCTGTCCGACAGCAGGACGTAAAGGAAGCAGCTCATCAGCATCATGGTTACTCCGATAGTCTGGGTTTCTAACCTGTACACCACATTTTATAGGCGACCTCAGAACGGAAGCTCTGTGGGAAGGTGTCAACAAGCCACGCTGAATCATTTCTACTCTTTGGGTTTATTTCTGACCAAAGATGAACTTTACTTTTTTTAATTGTTTCTCTCAAAAGACGAACTTCAATGCACTCTTGATTCCAAGTCTTCATGTACTTCATTATTATGTGTGTGTTTGCAAAACTGTCACTCTTGATCTGAAAAATCTATTTAAAATGCATCACATATAACAGACACATGCATGCAGTCTCCTTGCTGTTTGGTCAGCCGTTTGTCCACTAGGGGGTGGCATGTAGTCTTACACTCCTGCATCTGTTTTTATGGTCCGAATCAGTTTTATGACTGTTGTGTTTTATTGTTTTCACCTGCAGTGAAAGTTTTACAGAACAGGACAGGCTGAGACGTTTTACAGGACAAAAGGTTTTGCAGCTTTGAAGATGATTTTGCAATTAAAGAGAAGAGCTGAAAACGCACATCTGCATATAGGCACGTTTTCAAGGGTGTCATTGAAGCTCTATAATAAAAATATACATTTAAAAGTTCTACAAATCAAATAGCAGTTTTGTAAAAGTGGATCAGGTTTCCTAAACTGCATTAAGTGATGCAACAGCAACTACTGCGCAAACAACATGCAGCAACAAAGGTTAAAAGTCCATCTAATTTTTCACACCTCGCCTTCGTTGACCACCTGCGCGGTTTCTGAAATTCAAAGACTTGATTTACACCTTTAAGCTGCTTCCTGTGAAACAGGAAAGCCTCTTCAAACTACTTCAAGAAACGTTTGTTCTGCTAATGTTGCCCCCTTTGAATGAACTGCCAGACGACACGTTCTTCTTCGTACTTTTGCAACTTTTATTAACAGAAAAATGCCCCTGGTTCAGAACTCAAGCATCCATTTTGTTTTTCTTCTTCTTCTCTTAAAGGACTAGTACAACATTTTATTTTCTGTTTAACACCAGTAAGCATTATGGACAACATTTTAACCGGTAACATCATAGATTAACTTATATATATATATATATAAATATATATATATATATATATATATATATATATAAATATATATATACATATACATACATATATATATATATGTATGTATATGTATATATATGTATACATATACATATATATATATATATATATATATATATATATATATATTTATATATATGTATATATATATATATATATATATTTATATATATGTATGTATATGTATATATATATAAAAATTAAATGTTGATCCAACATTTCCTTTTTCAATTCCATTCAATTCAAGTTTATTTATAAAGCGCCAAATCAAGGCAAAGAGTCGTCTCAAGGCACTTCACATAATAAACATTCCAATTCAGGTCAGTTCATTAAGCCAGTCAGAAATAATGTTTCCTACTAGTTGTGAAGTTGTGGAGATTGGCTTGGAGCGCGTCGCAGAACCAGAGCGCATGCGGGAAGGTTCCTCCTACTGAAGCGAGTGTTTTCCAAACCCTGTCTCTCAGAGAGACTTGTCACTTAGAAAATGTTCCCTTATTATGAAACTTTGGCTGAATAGTGCTTGTTCCTGTCTCCAATGTGGTGATGCATCCAGGAGCCGTCTGAGGAGAAGCCCAGAATCTCACATCCTCTTCAGCTCATAAGCGCCTACGATTACGCACAAGCGTGACGCGTCAACCCGGTCTCACAGTAAGACCGGGTTGGGCCTGTTCAGGTTTACGCAGACAATCTTTACATAGAATTGACTTACAGATATAAAATTAATTCAGTAAAATATAAAGCATTTTATTTAAATATCCATTCATTATTTTAAAAGCACAGAGAGCTGCATCAGATGGATGGAAGAGCCGCGGGTTGCCGACCCCTGGTATAGCCTATAAAATGACACGTTGAGGACGCAAACTCAATACATCTCTTTTATTGTGAGGTAATAATTTCTCTGAGTTTTGCGGTTGCGGGCGGGAGTAGACATGCACGCTGCGGGTGCGGGCGGTAATGGTCAGAAATTCAGCGGGAGCGGGCAGGAGCGGGATGAAGAAAACAGTCCCGCGCAGAGCTACTGCTGCGTTTAAGTGTTTCAATTTTTTTATGAATTCGATTAAAAATAAAGGCGCCCGGCCCGGCCAGTGTCCGAGGTAATTACACAATCATTGGCCCGAAGCCCGGCCCTCGGGCCATCGGGCCAGGCCGGCCTGAGGGCCTAGGGCTCTACTTGGGAGCCCAGGTGTTACTAGAACTAATGGTGTCTCCCCACCAGCGTGAGCCTCCAAACTGTGAAGGGTGGTCTCCAAACATGAACTTTAAATTCATGCATTCATCTCCTCTTGTAACACAAGATTTAAAAGGCTTGTATCATGATATGTTACACCTCCCAGACCAAAGATAGGTCCAATATAAGATAAAACATTATCATAAACACTGCAGAGACGTCATTGTTTATGAAATATGTTATGTTCCTGAGCCATTACTTCAGCCAATATTGGATGCATGGATTTGATGAAACCATGCTGTCTTATGCAGTCCTATATGTGTAACACACACACACACACACACACACACACACACACACACACACACACACACACACACACACACACACACACTCACACACACTGCAGTATGTTAGAATCATTTGAATGACTAATTTAACTACACTGAGCTGCTTTAGTAATAATTTAATCTCTTATTCTGGAGTAAAATAAAGAAACAAGCTAAATCATCACATATCTGTGGCATCAAGGAGCATCTTCTGAGTTCAAACACAGGGATGGAGCACAATGTTTACACTTGAACAGTATCAGGATTAACTCACAGAGACCTGCAGGTCTTCTGTTTTAGGAGCAAAGCGCTGAGAATCCGCTTGTTATGAGCGCTAAATTTTATTTTGCCGCTTCCGTGCGGAGCGGTAGGGAAACACGTTTCAAACACGGAACCGAGTCTGGTTACCGAACCGAGCAGAATTCCGATGACGTCACACCGGTGCGCGAAGGTGCGGGTCCCAACCAACAGGAGAGGAGGGAGAGAGGAGATAAATAGCGAGTGGATCACAGGGATTGACCTGATGTTTTTGAGCAAACCTGCGGTAAAAATGACTGTTCTCATTATCACGGGTGTACCCCCCCCCCACCCCCCCCCCGTTTAGACGCGGCGCTCATGCAGGTGTCTCTTTCTGTTCCGACGCTGCTGCACGTAATATTTTTAATTTATTAAGCCTACAATTTTTTTTACTCCGTAACGGATATGATTTAAAATGTAGCGAATTACAATTCTTTTTAAAAAAAACTTACTCAAGTAAAAGTAAAAGTACAGATTTTAAAAACAACTTAAAAAGTATAAATATACAAAAAAGCTACTCAATTACAGTAACGTGAGTAAATTTAATTCGTTACTTTCCACCTCTGCACATAAAGGAGATGCAAACCAGACCACGGCATGACGATGACGTCACAAAGGAACAACGCGGTCTGAGTCATTTGGAATCTTTAGCCAGAGACGACCAGTTTGCTCTACTGACTGTCCTTCACTCAGTGCGTGGTTGTCTTGTGTTATTGAGCAGTTTCAGTCCTTAATAACTGTCTACTTCTAATCAAAATGCCTGGACTACAAAATTATCGTATACCCAAAAACGAGCCGGTTCGTCAGGAAAATTCTCAGCTAAAGGAAAAAAATGCTGATTTAATGCTTGAGACTAAACATCTGAGGGAACAAGTGATGGATCTTAGAAAAAAGCTTTCTGAACAACTGGTGGCCACCAGAAATATGGAGAGCAAATGGCGGGCGAGCGACACATCTCTGCAAAAGGAGAAATCTGAAAGGTCATTACTCCAGTCCAGATACACTGAAATGTGTCTTCAAAATGACAAGCAGTTCACGGAAATTAAATACCTCAGGAAACAACTTTCCAATGAAGTGGAGGCCAACAAAATGATGGAAGAGAAATACCGTAAGTCCAGAGATCTGGCTCAGACCTACCACAGCAAAATGGCTCAGGAAAAGTTTAAAAGAGATGTCGAGATGACCATTTTAAACATAGGTCAACAGAATTTATTGTCTGCTATGAATAACCTCGAAGGCAAACCTTCCAATGAATCTGCCGGCGGGGCTAAGCTGCAGGAACAGCAAAACAAGACTTTGAAACAGGATTTTAACAACAGAGAGGCTAAACTGTGTTACAAGCCACTAAAAGCTTTAGGCCACCACAATCTGTCAGATGGAGCGCAAAGCTCCCCCAAGACTGTCCAACTGCACACGCCATTAGAAATTCAGAAAGGTAAAAGAAAAGCAGAATGCATTTCATACGACGTGGCCACGGCACTGAAAAAGCGACCCAAGATTCAGCTAGACGAACCACGGGATTGCACCAAGCTTACCTGGAATAAGTACAAAGAGCACTACAGATCAAATGTTAATATGCCTGAGAGCAAAAAACGTAAGAGGGAAGATGAGACTCCATCTGCAGATGAAGGTAAAACAGCTATGTTTACAACTGAGAGAGAGGAATACATTTTTAAAAAACTGAAGAGAAACCAAGAAAACGTTTAAAGACACAGCGGCTGTCGTTTAAAGACTGGCCTCATAGTCTTTACTCATATTAGTTTGACGTATACTAGTCTTTACTTATACTCGTCTTTACTCATATTAGTTTAACGTATATTAATATTAGTCTTTACTTATACTAGTCTTTACTCATATTAGTTTAACGTATATTAATACTAGTCTTTACTTATACTAGTCTTTACTCATATTAGTTTAAAGTATATTAGTCCTTACTTATACTAGTCTTTACTCATATTAGTTTAAAGTATACTAGTCTTTACTCATATTAGTTTAAAGTATACTAGTCTTTACTTATACTAGTCTTTACTCATATTAGTTTAACGTATATTAATACTAGTCTTTACTTATACTAGTCTTTACTCATATTAGTTTAAAGTATATTAGTCCTTA